TGACATAATACTTAAATTGCACTTTAGTCTTCAGATTTCCCATGCCTTCTAGGTCTTGCCCAGGATGCTGTATAATAAGATATTAAGACATTTTTGTAATTTATTATCATGGAAAAACCTACACAGTATACTGTAAAGAGCAGATCCTCAAATGCTTCAAAGAGTAATATTAAAATTGTTTAAAGCTACAATACTTTACTCATTTGTATTGTTCACATCTGATTAAACAAACAAAAGGAACACTTTAAGACAGACATGTCAAACACAAGGCCTAGGGGCCAGATGCGGCCCGTGAAATGGTTTCATGTGGCCCGCGAAGCCATCCTGGAAACATGAGGGAACGGCCCCCTCTGCCTTGGCCCTGGCCCAGGCTGGCCGGGAGCCAATGTACAATTTTGTGGTGGCCATCTATGCTGAAACGCATTCCGTCTTAGCTCCATAAGCCCCTCCCCCCACATGGCCTGAGGGGAACAGTGAGGCTCCTCCAGTGGACCATGCCTTGGCACTTGCCCTGGTCCCACCCCCTTCTGCCAGAGACCCTCAGATCTGTCCCACGCCTGCCCAGGCCCCCACAGGCACCCTTGATGCAAAGAATGTAGAGCTGGCCACGCCCACCCAGTAGGCCACACCCACTCCATCCACACCCACCCAGTAGGCCACACCCACCTGGCCCCCTGAGAGCAACCGCAATGCTGATGCGGCCCTCAATTAAATTGAGTTTGACACCCCTGCTTTAAGAGATTTCTTTGGGTTAATGCTGTCAAATCCATGGTTAGTCCCCCATGTTTTGACATCAGGACTGTTACATATATGGCCTGTAGATGAGCTGTCAAAGTGAAATGTGTGAGCAGAATTTATGTGTCTGTGGAGATTCTCAGTCATCCAGGTCATAGTTGTCACAAAGGTAGTTTTTCAAAAGGCAACTGGACTGCCCCCCCCAGGAAGAAAAAGACATTTTGCTTCTCAACGAAGAAACTTCATCAGTTCTGGCAGGAGGGTGGAGGTGATGGAAGGATTAGAACTAACCCCACCATCCTGCCAAAACCACTGAAGCTTCTTAAATGAGAAGTGAAACATCTTCCTGGGGGGGGGGGGGGAAGCAGTCCAGTTGCCTTTTGAAAAAGCACCTTTGAGACAAGAATTTATGTGCTTGGTAAAGCAACTTGGAATCTGATGCCAGTAAAGTAACATTGCCAAATTCGATTTCTAAGTAATAAAAAACACTATGGAAGCATGTTTTGTTTTGTAGTAAGAGTCCTCAAGGTTAATAAATTGTCATATTTATACAAAGATTAAAAGCTACTTATTCATTTATGTTTCTTCTTCTTTTGCTTATAATTTGAGAGAGTGTGATAAAGTCAAGAATTCTAATGTTAAGAATAATATATCTAAGAGTTTTATATACCAGGTGTTCAAAAATTAGCATTACCTATTTCCCCTTTTTTGTTTTTGCTGTCTCAATCTTTTTCCATTATTTTCCTCTTTTATTTTATTTGAGGAACAATAAGTGTTGTTACTAAAACAAATAGTAAATGGCACTTCTTATGTGACTGCGCAGTGCAGCCTAAGAGAACTATTTAGTTTAGTTTTATGTTCTGTGAAAAAAGGGATGTTCTGTTAATCCTTTTCAAATTTTTAACATAAGTGAAATAAATCCGTTTTCACTTTACGCTGGAAAAAAACAAAACCTTGCCAATTTATTTTTTTAAAAAGGCTGCAAACATTTCTACAATTTCTTCTGGAGTTAAAGTTCAGGTTCTAATTTCTTAAATTTCATTTTCTGAATGTTAAATTTTATTTACTGAATTAATTTCTTCAGTTTTTTAAAAGATTTTGTTAAATAAATTAATTCTTGAGTTAATCCATTATATGTGAGGAGTTCAGATTAGAATGTGTCTTCCACAGAAAAAAGTGGGGTGCTGATTGTAATGGAGTCTATTAAACCAATGAAAAATCAGAACAAAATAGCTTATAAAGTTCATGTTTTTATTGTTTACGTACTAATGCTTAAAGTGTGCGAAATAAAGAGCTGAACTATTCAGTGATAAAAACTGTGGAATGGAAGTGGAATCAGTTTCTTTCAGAAGTATATTCCACTTCTCTACATATGATTAAGCAGAGGCTTGATAACCCATTGTGAGGAATGCTTTAATTTAGATTTGTACAACAAACAGAGGGTTGGATTTGATGATCTAAATAGCTCCTTTGAACTGCTTGGTTTGATGATCTGTTATTCCATATTTGGAATCCTAAATGGGAAATTTTATAATTAAAAGCATTTGATGCTTGTGAATCACCAAAAGTAGGTTATGTATATTTCAGTGATCGAGAAGGAAGAAATATATGATTTTGATTTACATTTAATTTTCTCAAAATGGAAAGATAATTATATCTGGGGTTGTGTTTTTTTTTTTTTTTTTGCGTTCAAGCAATAGAATGAAAGAATGAGAGCGTGCGAAGATAATTTTTCTTAATCTTAGATCCTAAAGAAAGTTAGTGCTGCTTTTTCACAGTACATGAGGCACAGAAATGAAAAGTTTATGACAGAAGGAAGGAATGCAATACCTTAGGTAGGAATTACCCTGCTAATTCAAGTGTGATGACTACATGCTTTAGAATATTAGATTTAAGGCATTTAGATTATCCTACTTGTGCAAAGAACTGAAAGAAATGAGAGCATCAAATATGGGACAAGATATAAACAAGGAAAGAAAAAAATGCAGGAAAGTCAAAGCTCTTTTGCATTGCTGGCTCCTTCATTTCCTTCCTTTGAAAATGTGATTGCTTATGTCAGATTCTACCTGTGAAAAACAAACTTAAGAAGACTTGATTTTATTCCATTGCTGGAATCTTGGCTTTGATAGCTACATAGTCTATAATATACAGCTAACACCATGGTGTGGGGAGCCTGGGAGATAATTTGATTAAGGGCCTCATCCAGTCTTGAAAGCCCTCTTATCTCTCAATACAGGTAGTCCTCGACTTACAACAGTTCATTTAGTGACTGTTCAAAGTTACAGTGACACTGAAAAAAGTAACATGACCATTTTTCAGACTTACGATCGTTACAGCATCCCCATGCTTGACAACTGACTCATATTTATGACGGTTGCAGTGTCCCAGGGTCACGTGATCACCTTTTGTGGCCTTCGGACCTAAGCAAAGTCAATTGGGAAGCCAGATTCATATAACAACCGTAGAGATTCACTTAACAAATGTGGCAAGAATGGTCATAAAGTGGGCCAAAACTCACTTAACAAATTTCTCACTTAGCAACTTAAATTCTGGGCTCAGTGTAGTCATAAGTCAAGGACTACCTGTATATCTCACTTTATAAGACTATCATAATGATAAAATTGGAAGGAAAATAAAAGTCTGGAGACAAAAAGAGAGGGCTGGAAATAGTGTAAGCCAACAGCAGCACAACAACACAGTTTTTTTTTAATTGTTAGTGTGGAATTGTGTTAAATTTATGCAGAAATTAAACTGCATAAGGAATCACAAATAATTATTACACTGCAAATGTTGATGGTCTATTCAGATGTAATGAATGAATAATCTCTTCAAAGTTGGAAAAATAAGAAAATGCATGATAATTTCTGTAACAGTTAGGAGAGTAAAAGTGGGGAAAATAAAGATTATGGGGAAAAATATCCCAGCCTCCTAACTATGCACAAACTAATAATATTTTCAGTAGTAAATATTACAGTGGAATATTTTGAGGATAATACAGTGATACTTTATCTTATCCTAAAAGCTGCAAATGACACTTATTTATCCCTGTGTTTTTTCCTTTGCCAGTAATTATCTTTATTTCTATATCAAATTGCTGGTGCAATGAGTTTAAGTTCATGATTCAGCAGCACATCAATGCTTCTAGCTAAGAATTCACATTGCAAGGATGGAAGAAGGATGTGATAAGTGGGAAGTGAATGGAAGGTCTTGACCATCTTCTGCAACATAATTTTAATTTTGAGAAAATATATACTAATGCAGATTGGTTTTATCTTAACATGGCGTAATCACTTTCTGACCTAGAGGTGTCATTGTACATTCTCACCGAATAGTCCTAGTACAGAATCATTGGCAACTTCCCTTCAAGCATCTTGCAAGATGTGGGTGTTGTTCATCTCACGAGATTTCAGATTTATTCTCATTCTACTTTTGTTATGTTGAATATCATTTTAGGGATCATGGATGCATGAATGCTTGCAGGTATTTTTTCTTACTGACCACTTGGAGGAAACTTCAGGGTACTCATAAAATTAAAAATGAAGCCAGTGCTACATCTCTGGCTCTCTTGGCAACACTTCTGCCTTTGAACCAAGCTGATATCTAGGCTTCTAATGGTTACCACTTTTTATTAAAGGGGGAAAAATAAGATACTGGAAAGTTGAAATAAACACATCAGTAGGAAGTAGGAGTGACCTGTGACCACTATTGTAGACAGATATATACTGTAATTATATTATCATTACATGACCATGTTCTAAACAGTACGGACTCATAGGGTAATATTGTAATTGCAATTCATAAATGCTTTCTATTTCCTCGCTGGCTTTTATTTTGGTTCCGTGACATTTGAAAACAAAATAGGATCTTTACAGAATATTAATGCCAACATTTTTTTTCATATTTAACTGGCTTGTTCCAATTCACAGGTTCACTTTCCAAATCACTGATTTTCATTCATTTTCACCATTAATTGATCACTGAATTTCTGCTAAAATGGTTATCTTGCAGTTTCCATGTTTTAAATTCTTTTCTGCATTAATTTGTCCATAATAAATATATCCACTATTCTTTTTATCCCTTTCTTCCCTAACCCCTGCCATAAATGTCGCACACACCCCTTTTCCCTGTCTTTTCTCTTTACCTAAACCTAGTCATAATTTTGTAAATGTTAGGCAGAAACAATTAAACCAACCAAAAAAGTATAGTTTAGATGAGAGAAAGCAGACGATAAATAATTGTTCAGAGAAATAAATATGATTTATTATTCCTAGAATAAAGAGTGTAGATTTGATGATGATCAGACCAATATTTTAAAACTTGTCCAGCTCCATGTATAACTTGCTTTTATGCAAGTGCTGCAGTTTGTAAATGCATTCATTTTTTTGTTTCTGGGATTTTGAATATAATCGTAGACATCCGTGAAAAATTTTTTTTGTTCAGCCAGAAATGCTTTGAGGTTTTTGTTACAGGACAGTCAGTTACCTCAATAAAAACCAACAAAATGCCTTTTTTTTCATATCACTTATGATAGTACTTTCACCATTCCTTGAAAATAAAATTGTATGAAACATACTTTTGAATTACAGAGGCAGGAAATGAAAAAATATGCATTGATATGATTGAAAAAATTCAGAGATGTGTGTAGGCATGCAAGTGTGTCTGGAAGTCCACATCAGGACATCCAAATTGCTGACAGCTCCACTTTTCACATTTGGAGTCAAATTCTCTGCTCTGATTTAAGAATCCCCACAGCCCACAAGTCAGAATCAGGCTGCCTTAGTCTACCTATGGGAGAAAAGGAAACGCCAAAAAATCATTGTTGGGCATTAGTTCATCAGACTGAAGCAAAGGACCATCGGATTTCTAGTCCTCAAGGGTTCTTCACGCTGAGAGTAGCGACGTGCGAATGCGTGCATACACATACAGGGATACAGACACCTTTCCGGTTATCTGAGTCGGCCAGCAAACTTCACATCTGACCTCTTCTCTCCAGGCCTTTCAAACCGGCGTGTCACGGTCTCCCTCGTGCTTCGGGTCTCGACTCGCGCCTTCGGGCTCCTCATGCGCGCCTTTCTTGCCCCCTTCTCTACCGGGGCCCGACGGCCCATTCCCAGCCCCTCCCTAGATAGGACCGGGCCCCGACTGGGGAATGCCCCGAGGAGCAGCCTGCAGGGGCGGAGGAGAGTAGGACGGCTGCTGAGGGGAAGAGAGCAGCAGCCTCGGCGGGGTGTGATGTCAGCAGCCGCGAGGAGGAGCCTGCCCTTGCGGGCTCTTTTACTTTTAGGCTCCGCGCCACCGCAAGCGGCCACTGCCGGAGCCGCGTCCGCCCGGCTCCACCATGCCATCCCGGGGGCCGGTCGCCTCCACCGCCGCTTCGCTACTGGCCCGGGGAACTTTGGGCGCTCCCGCGGCTCTGCTTCTCTGAGGCGCGCGCTCTCTTCCCGCCTGCCGGGCATGGCGCTGCCTGCAACTGCTTCATGATGATGATGGTGGTGATGATGATGATGTTTGTGGTGATGGTTATTATTACTGCTCTGCATCAACGCCGGGCATGTGAAAGCCCAAGCGTCATGCCAACAACGCGCCTGTTTCTGCTTCGTCCCTTCAGCCTCCTGCTGCTGCTGCTGGGGCCGCATTTCTTTGTGGGATCTTTCTCCCTCGGCTCTGCCTCCTCTCCCTCGCCCACCGAGCGTTCCTCCGTCGCGACGGCGGGGCCTCGGGCAGTGGTGTCGATCCGGGGGGGATCCACTTTTCTTGCGGCTTCCTCCTCGCTGCTTCCTAGGGAGAAAGGAAGCCCGCAGCCTTCCGCCGCGTCTGTCAGCGTTTGGGATCGGACGACGGATCGAGGCGGCGGCAGCGACAGCCCGGGTGAGTGAAAGGGTAGGAAGGGGGAAAGGGCGGGGAGGAGGGAAACTCTGTGTTTGCGTGTGTGTGTGTGTGTGTGTGTGTGTGTGTGTGTGTGTGTGTGTGGGAAGAGAGAGAGTGCACAGACAACGGCAGCTACCCGAGAACGCTCTGCTTCATCCTTCCATCCGTCTACCGATGCAGTACATTTTATCCCATTTTGGACTGGGGATTCCTTGCAGGTTGTCAAAAGAAACGGCTATAGAGCTCTCCTTTTCTTACCCTGCTGCCTTCATCACCAGTCTCCCCACAATATAAACTCTCTCTCTCTCTCTCTCCCTCCCTCCCTCCCCTCTCTTTCTCCTTTTCCCCCTCTTTCTCTCCCCCTCTCCTTTTCTCTGCCCCCCAACCCTCAAGTCCGTTCCAGTAAGGCTTGTGCTTAGAAGAAAGTTGACAATATTAAGCACATTTCCACTGATAGATATACTACACACACAGTATGTATATCTATATAGTTCATCACACACACAATTTGAAATATTAAGCCCCTCTCCCTCTCCAGTAGGTCTTAGGAAGGAAGCCGATGTAAAGGGGATTTTCCCCTGAGAGATTACTGGGAAGATGTCATTTTCTTAGCATCAATTGTCTGCTGAAAAGTATTAAGAGAGGAGCAGCGGGTGTGGGGGGGGGGCGCGCGACTAACTCTAGATTAATGGCATTATGCACTTGGCAAGATGGTTTGAAGGGATTTGTTTACAGGACCTGAAGAGTCAGCAGTCCACCCGCAGGTTCCCAGGAAGGGATGTGCACTAGAAACTGAACTGATTTTAGTTTACAGATACAAAGGGACTTTTGGAGGAGTAGGATAGCTTTGGCTAATTAGGAGCAAGTGATCAAAACAAGCCGGCTTCTTCATGTTGCTGTTACATCAAACCAATCATTTTGTTTCCAGTAAAATAGTCACTTTCCATATGGCTTAAAGAGGCAAAGCGGTGTTTTATTTTAAGCATTTCTAAATGTATTCTTGATGGATGGTTGGATAATATTCAGTGTCTGAACACTCTTGGAGAGAAAATGCCCAACTCTGTTACTAATGTGAGATCTAAAGAACTAAATTTACTCATACAGCAACTTACTCAAATTTACTTATACCCTTCACTTGGAGAAAATGCCATAAGTTACCTGGTAAAACTTTGCTTCTGAGTAAATCTACCTAAAATTTTGTAGGAATTGTTTTTTCCATCACTGAATTAGGCTACCATTCTCTCTCCCTCTTTCTTTTTTGCATGGTGATCAGTGCCTCTGCAGTTAAGTGAATGGATGCTTGCGATGGAATGAAAACAATTTTGTTACATATTTTGCATTCCAAAATGGTAATTTATAAACGGTTGGAACAGCTTTATTCATTATTATTCCAATTGTTATATCTTTAAAATAACCAAAGTATTCTCAACCAAAATGCTTTTTTAAGCATTTTGTGACATACAAATATACAGAACTATGGCAAGAAAACAAAAAGTTTTCTTCCCAGATTCTTGCTTCATGCTTAGACAGAGCCAAATCAGAGGATGGATCATAAAAAAACAAAAATTAAGTTCAAATGCCCATTTTGGCATGGCAAGCTAACATCTACCCATCACTGAATACTTGGGTTTGCCATTTGAATCTCTGGATTTCCACTACAGTCCTATATTGGCTGAACTCAGATAATATTCCGTTGAATTACACTGGGTGAACTGTATCTGGTAGGCATCAATAGATTTAACTCAGGGAGTAAATCCAGTCACTTAAATGGGACTTACTTCTGACTGATTCTTGGGTTCGAAGCTAAAATCAGCAGACAAGTATGCACTGGAAGAAGGCTATGAAATCAATTCATTTTTATTTTCTTTAATTTGCCAAGATTATGGCTCTGAAAGAATGATTTCTCTGTATGTAGTAAATGATTTCTCATTCAGTGCCAAAATTACCTAAACGGAGAAAGAGCAGAGGGCTAGCTTGTGATTTGGCTAGAAAAGGACATGTCTCTGTGTTGCAGGATGGGACCCATAGATAGAATTAAGGACCCTTAATTTGAATTTTGCTCTGATTTGTATACCATCAATTTGAATAACAGTGACTTTAAAAAAAAAATTTACAAGCATTCTCCACTCACAGCCCTCCCCTCTTCTACTCTCCTTTAGGTATTGGCAGTGCTTTTTTTCTTAAAAAAAAAAAAAAAAGGTGCCCGAACTCACACAGGTCATACAACCCGCCTTGCCTACCCTACAAGGTTCCATCCCAAAAAGGTGCCGGAACTCCATTTTGTGCGTTCTATGAGAAAAAAAGCCCTGGGTATTGGAATATAGAAAGTGGCAATGATCTCTAGAGGAGGACTAGAGGTCTTCTGAGTGGAACAATATTAATTTGGAGCTAGTGTAGGACTCCTTATGAAAAATTAGTCTGTAGCTTTGCATTAAATTAATGAAAAAGATCATCCAGGTCTTTAAGATTGATGACCTTTTTTAAAAAAAAATCTTGCTTTGAAAAAGTCATATCAGAATGGGACAACGATGGGACAAGCCTTTGCAGTGTAATTCATCTGGTCCTGGAGTCTTAAGTTCTTTTAAAATGACTCTGTTCTCTTATTTTTCCTTGTCTCTCCTAAGGTGCAGTTCCCTCTTTTCATAGTGATATAATAAGCAGTTAGTGCTCCATTACACAATTAACTTCTTAAATTAAGAAGTTCTTTTCTCATTATAATCTACCATCAACTCACCATCAACCATCGTTTATTATTTTTACCCCACCATAGGCCTACATGTTCTTTGGTTTTCTTTTTTTTTTATTCCCAGTATACCCAAATAAATGGGTTTTTCTTTTGTTATTTTTATTACATCTTCAAGCCACAGCATTAGCCTTTCTGTCTCAGTCCCCCCTCAGTCATAACCTTGTATTTTTCTTTGATTTTGTTTCCCCCATTTTATTTCCTATATAGTACCTGCTTGGTATTTTTCTTCTTCAGCTTGTTAGAAAGCCCTTTGTGTGTCCATGTTTTCCTTTTAAACTTCATCTTTCCTTATTGTAAGAATTGTTTGCAATTATGCAATATCTCAAAGAATTTCTGAATCCTCGGGGATAGTTTCCTTCTAAGGATTTGAAGCTACTGAATCCAATCTACTTTCCCTTAGAATTCATCAAAATCTTCTTGAAGTCCATACGCAGATCTGTCTTTTCTCAGTTCCTCCTACAATGGATATCACACAATCAATAACATCAACACTATCCACCAAGGTTTCAGTCACCTTCAATTAATTCCATCTCTTGGTTAGGATTGAGGCCAGGATAGCATATCCCTTGTTCTTTCTTCTGCCTGCTGACAAATGGAGTTCATCACCAAGAGAATAGAATAGAAAACTTTTGACAGATGTCAGCAAAATGGGTTTCTCTCATTATTACTGTTGCATGCCTCTTTCAAAGATTAGTTATTTAGCACATAAAGTCTTATCTGCATCTTCTGCCTGCCAAGTGTCTGCCATAAACTCCCATGGTATCACTTACCCAAATTCTTTCAACAGGATTTCCATGCCTGATTCCTGAATTCCTGACTATTTTTTAATACCCTATAACTCTCCTCCTTTCTGTTGAGTCTGTTCCTTCTGAATAAGGTGTAACCTTCCAGTGCTAAGTATCATCCCTCCATTGGGATGGTCATATAACGTTAGTTTTTAATGAAAACAAGGGTCAAAATTAGAAAGCTACTGTATTGTAACCTTTTTTTTTTCAAATTTGTCATGTGGCATATAATGCTGAAAATACAATTCTGAGTAAAATGAGAAACAACTTACTGCCGCAATATTGAAAGGCTCATATAATAGCGTTTGAATGTAAACACTTGAATTCCATAAAGAAATAATAGTAAAGCTACAATTGAGCTGAAAATCAGGAGAATTAAATTCCTCATCATCATATGAAACATGTAGCTTAGATATAGAAATTTTGGGAGTTAGATCATTCCATAAAAAACCTTAATAATTTATCAATATGCTTAAAATATCTTCAAGTATTAATATAGGAATCCATTTCAATAGAAATATCTCATCTATACTAATATTCGTATTTTATCTTTTCATATAAGAAAATCAGTATTTTTTTTATGTCAATGGGACAAGCAATTTGAAATATTAACATCCACAAATGAAGGTCTACTTAAATGCATTCAAACTTTTCATTTTTGAAAATTTCCCTAAGCATATTATGGTCCACAGAAAGTATATGAGATTATTATTAATTAAATAACCTGGAAATCTATTAAAGTATTATACTATATCAATAAATGGCAATTTACTGATCTAACTTCATATGTCAGCACATAAAAACAATTTTTTTTTATGTTTCTAAGGCTATTTCTTAAGCACATCTAGTAGATATGTCCCACTGAACATTAAAGGAATTATTCCTTTGTGCCCTAACATATCACAGATTGCATACATCAAGTACACAAACAGCTTTTAACTATGTCTAAGATCCACAGACCCCTTCTGTGTGATGAACAGGATAGAATTGAATGTTAGCTGCAACTGTCTTGACTCTTGGGAATATTTGGAGCTTATTGGAATACTTGTCTGTGAGTCAATCAATGTCAGTCTTTTGGTAGGTGACCATTATAAATACTTTACAAATTAACAGACTGAATTGACCAAAAAGGTATAAGTTATAAAATTTATAATGATAAAGTAAGCCATGATTGAATGAAAAATCAAATTCTCCCAAATTTACAATTCTATAAATGGCTTTCCCACACTGTTTGTATTTATAGGTATAGTTATAGGTATGGTTGAAAGGAAGTGTGGTCCAACATAACTCATTATTTAAGACATGATGATGGACCAAATGCTCTTGCCCTTTACATGCCAAAATATAATGAATTAAATAAAACAGAACAAAACATCATTCTATTGACCAGCAAGGATTCTGTAGATTCAGTTTATCTCAGATTTTAGCAGAGTCCTCCAGCTTCCGTACTTTGAGATTCAGAAATGAAT